TACATAATATCTCTTTCGCTTGTTCCACTCCTGCTCAATTGAGAGTCTCAAGTTCTCACTTTAACTCAAATGCTAGATAACACTAGCATATATAAATACTCAAGTACTTTTAGAAATTTAATCAATGTGAATTGAGTTTCAACATAAAAAACTATTTTGTTTAAAATACACTAACAAATAGAGTACCTTGCTATACCCTACTTGAACTTGTCCGAGTCACATAAACATCATTAAAAGAGTAATTTACTCTAGTTCTCGCGACAGATATGCACTGTCTCATCATAAGAATAAGAAAGAGATAAAAACCTCCTCCGTGTGCTCTGAGTTGCATATAATACAGTTGTCTCTTTGGACTTAGATCTTGAGATCTCTAGTCAGCTAAATTGGGTTGCAATTATGATGACTCTTGGTTAAGTAATAGGCTATTAAGCCCATTCCTCTGGATGATGTAAACATGACATGTCCTAAGGATGAAGTCAAAGAAATAATCTAACCGAAGCACATGAGCCAGCTAACTCTGTCCACAATATTTTATGTCCCAATTCTAACTTGAAGCAAAAAAGTTTAAACGTCACTGAATGAATCTAAAAAGGAAAAATCTAGCAACAAAAATAGAGCATATAGGTTCAAACCTGTCAAGTTCAAATGCCTAATAACTAGATCTAATGCAACAAGATTTCCTATCAAATCATTTTATCATCTCAGTTTTTATTAAACTAGGTTTTCACATACGATACAATAGAAAATAAACAACCAATCAGCGATTCAGCGGTAGGATACCATTCGTGCTTCAATGAGTTCAAACAGCAGTCCTTGATGGTATGAACTCAAGTATATAAATGATACAACACCAATGAATGCCACGAAGTAGGCTCCTCCGAAACTCCAAAAAAAATCAACATTGAATAAGTCACTCTGCCTTGATCTTGAAGGTGGCTGAGCTAATGGAAGTGCACTACTGGTGGTGCAACTTATCTGTAGTGGCAATCCACAAAGAAGAGGGTTGCCTTCATAGCTGTTTTCTTCAAATGTTGCAAACTGCTTCTTCCTATCTGGTGTTCTACCTGATAAGTTGTTGTAAGCCACAGTAAAGACTGATAAAAAGTTCAAATCTATCAACTCTGAGGGAATTTCACCACCCAACCTATTATGGGATAGGTCCAAACTTTCTATTTCCTTCAGGTTGGAAAATGTTTTTGGGATGGACCCTGTCAAGTGGTTGTGTGAAAGGTTTAGAGTAAGCACACCACTTAGGTACCCAATTTCAGGGGGAATTGGACCTGTGAATTTATTCCACGATAGATCAATTCCAGAGAAGAAGTACAAAATGTTTCCCCTGTATGACTCAGACCTACTCTTTGTTATAAACTCCACTTCTTCTACCTCATCAAATGCACCAAAGTCGAACTTGATAGAAGTTTCCATATTGATTGAATTTCCATAAAAATACGTCGAGTAGTATTCAGCATGTGTCACATTTGTATGGATATCAAATGATTCATCGAAAGCTCTTTTCCCATATGGTATCATTTGCAAACAAGAAGGTATTGATCCAGAAAGATTGTTGTGAGAAAAATCTATCAGGGTAATGTTAATGAGCTGACACAATTGAATAGGAATGGGACCTTCAAGGGTATTTCCTTTCAAAAGAAGAACCCTCAAATTTGAAAGTAAGTTGATCCAACTAGGAATTCTTCTTGATAATTTGTTATCCCTCAAATCCAATGTCACAAGGGAGGAAGCTTTAGAGAGAACATTCGGTATGGGTCCATCGATTTCATTTCCTTGTAAATGTAAGTACCTCAATGATGATAGATTTACACAAGAAGGCATGGCACCAATTAAGCTGTTACTAGAAAGATCTAAGAATCTTAGTTGTTGAAGGTTGCAGACGCTCTTAGGTAAAGAGCCTTCTAATGAATTTTTGGACAGAATAAGGGAAGATAAAGAGTGGAAGCTTCCAATCCAGTCAGAAATTTTGCCAGAAAGTGAGTTATTGCTTAAATCCAGCAATTTTAGGTTGGTGTTGTTCGGAAGTCCAATTGATATCTCTCCTGAGAAGCGATTATTGTCCAAAAACAAAGCAACTAGTCCCCTGAGATTGGATTTTGCTGGAAGTAATTGGCCCTGCAAATTATTGCTCGATAGCTTCAAAAATGTCAATGAGACACACCCCATGAATAAATGCTCTGGTAGTTGTCCGGAGAGGTTATTATCTGACAAGTCCAATAACTCTAAACTTCTCATATCTCCCAGTGAGGGAGGAATGCTACCTTGAAATCCATTTTTAGACATGTTCAGAACCACCAAATTTGGAAGGACGGAGCCAATAAATAATGGGACCTCGCCTTGGATACGATTCATAGAGACATCGAAAATTATCATATCAACATTTTTTGAATCAGCATTCAAGAAGAGCGGACCACTTAACTGGTTATTTGCAAGACTTAAGACTTCTAGTCTCGTATTATTCATGAGGGACGAGGTTGAAATCTTTCCTACCATGCTGTTGTGGCTAAGGTTAACTTCTTTCAAGTCATATTGATGGAAAAGAAAGCTGGGTATAGCCCCTGTTGCCTCATTGAGTTTACAATTGGATAAGCGAAAGAATTTCAGCTGAAACAGAGGTGTCCAAGGCAAATTTTCTGTCTCCACCTTCAAATTGTTGTTGTGGTTTTCAAGTTCGAAGACCTCAAGCTTGGAGCTGTTAGCAAGTGAGCTGAATGAGAATGAACCTTCAAAATGGTTGTAAGAAAGTGAAACATACTCAAGTGACTTGAGACTAGGAAAGAGAGTAGAGGGAATGGTTCCTCCAATGTTATTCCGAGAAAGTTCAAGGAACCGAAGGGATGTCAAATTGCCGAGACAAGAAGAAAGATTCCCTTCGAAACTGTTTTCGCTTAGATCCAACTCTTGGAGGTTCCTCAATTTGCAAAAGCCTGCAAAAGTGAAAGTGCAAGTCATGCAATTATAATCACGACGGAATTAGCTTTATAATTTTAAACAATGAAATTAACTCTTTTTCTATACTGGAAGATCCCCAATAGTTGATTATGCATAGGAATGGCAGCGGACTAGGGTGGGGGTAAATTTCGGTCCACCCCGCATCCATCTTCACATAGGTTTATACCGGTATTCAATATAAGTTTACTGTCTAATACATATGGTCCATCCCTGGTCCAAAGGGGAGGGGTTTGAATGAATCTCCGTTTTTTTCCGATCCACTGTCATCCCTACTTATGCACCATTAATTAATTATGTTCATGTCCTTGATTCTCGTCCTTTAACAATTTGTCCAGATTTTTTTTCACAAAAAAAACGTATATGTTCGATGACTTTCATCAGATATATCAAAGAGTCTAGTCTGGGAAACCATTCTATTGATCTGACAAGAATCCCATGCACCATACCAGCAAAAAGGAAAAATTTTCAACGGGAAGGGGTATCTACATTCCTCATCTATAAGAGTGTCATTCAATGATTCTAACAATAATCAACATAATCGGATTATTTGTGTGCTTGTATGTGCGTGTATGCATAAATGAGTGAGCATTTTCTGTGTGTTTTATGGGGGAAGGGAAGGTATAGTATGAGATATACCAAAATAATGATCACTACAAAAGCAATAATAAATTGCAGCAATTCAAATGAATAAAAACATGGCTCTGGTGCTTAAAGGGACATACAATGATTAATTGAAATGTGAGAGCCAGAATCAAGTTAGGGTAATTCCGAATCAAAGTTAAAGTTGGATATGTAGAAAAACATAATGGGAAGTTATTGAAGGACTTGAATGGATCCAAAGAATGCCTATCGGGAATCAGTTTAACTGGCTGCTAAAATTTGAGCAGTCAGTTAATTCCAATACATGTCCATTTCTAATTCCTCCAATTACCCTTATGCCCATTTTCTACAATATCCACTATGACCAGCACATTAAAACGGAAACATATATAATTCAATATAAGTATAAATCTCTCTTGAAGTACCTTCCATGGGTAAGGAGCCATTCAGTTGATTGTATCTGAATGATAAGGCCTTTAGAGAAGTCATAGCACCAATGGATGGGGGAATCTCACCAATCAAATAATTATCACCAAGATTCAACACCTCCAGATTGCCCAAACTAGTTATCTCTGCTTCACATAGTGCAAAAGAGTGAGGTTTTGCATCAAGGTAACATTACAAGTGAATAGCAGAACAATGCTAACATAGAATTGGGATGTATCTTGAAAATGGGAAAAACCCTCCAAATTGTTAAATTCGAGACTTTTTTTCGGTGAGTTGGTAAATTCAAGATTGAATAAACATCCAAAAATAAATATTAAACCCAAGGACGGGATTTCTGTGAACCCATTGGAACTCAAATCCAAAACTTGTAGCTTGCTTAATCAAAGTACTCCATGGAATCAAGTTCCGGTAATTCCGAATTGAAGGTAAAGTTGGATATGAAGAAAAACATACTGGGTAGTGGTTGTAGGACATGGATGGATCAAAAGAATGCTTATGGGGAATCAATTTAACTGGCTGCTAAAATTTGAGCTATCAATTAATTCCTTGTCCATTCACAATTTCCACACATCCCTTATAAAAAAAATAAGATAAGAGAAAGACAAAGATAATATTATTGAGACATGATTAGTCAGTACAACGTAATTTACTTAGAATCCACTATAGAAGCCCTTATATAGTAGGACAACATAAATAAAAAGAAAATGACTAAACTACCCATATCCATAAGGCTAATATACTATAATACTAACAGTTCATACATGTGTATTTCTAATTCCTCCAATCTGTCTCATTCCCATTTTCTACAATATCCTCTATGATCAGCATATTAAAAGTGAAACATATATAATTGAATGTAACTATAAATCTCTCTTGAAGTACCTTCCATGGGTAAGGAGTCATTCAGTTGATTTAATTTGAATGATAAGACCTTTAGAGAAGCCATAGCACCAATGGATGGGGTAATCTCACCAATTAAATTATTATAATCAAGATTCAACGTCTCCAGGTTGCTCAAAGTAGTGCGAAAGAGTGAGGTTTTGCATCAAGGTAACATCACAAGCAAATAAGCAGAACAATGCAATAGAATAGAATTGGAATGCACCTTCAAAATGGGAAAAACTCTCCAAAAAGTTGAATTCAAGATTGAGAATCTTTAAGGACTGTAGTGCACCCAATGATGGGATTTCTGTGAAGTTGTTGAAACCCAAATCCAAAACTTGTAGCTTGGTCAATCTAAGTTCTCCATAGAAACCTGTGTGAAACCACAATAAAAGCAAGAGAGTGAATCAAAGCCTATTCTCGTTGTTTTTTTTCCTCAAGGTCAATCAATGCCCATTCATGCATTGTAATCTTGATGTTTGTTTATGTTCCCACCACAATCTACATAATAAAACAAGTTTATTTTTATAAAGCAAAACAATGACCCCTATAGTTTTGATTTAAGAGCAATCTTATACGAATTTAATTTTAGAATGTAATTCAATGTAACTATTAAAGTAGTTAACTTTGTTTCACATAGTGCAAAAGAAAGAGGTTTTACGTCAAGGTAACATTACAAGTGAATAAACAGAACAATGCAATAGAATTTTGATATTTAATTAATCAACATTTGTCATCTCCACATTTCAAAACCACTTGAATTCTTCAAATTACCCATATTAACCCATATTACACATTAGCTACATGATAACTATCACATTTCACCTACTTTCGGTCTCCTCATGAATGTCCTTGCCATTAACGTTGTTAAGTGGTGCATTTTAGTATAAAAATCACAAAAGAGTTATGTGCCATTTTTAATCCACCGGGGTTGTCGGGCCCGGCCCAACAATTCAAAAAATAAAGCTTGGGCTTTAGGTCATAAATTTTTAGAAGATCATAAATTTTTAGAAAGTCGTATAATTTTAAATACATTACTAGTCCACAAAAAATAATTTAAATCCATTAAATTTTTAACCCTAAAAAAAGCCCCAAAAAATTTAAATCTATTAAGTTTAATTGAAATTTTTATTGTAATAATTTAGGTCCATAATTCAATTCATAGCATTAAAATCATAAAAATCAGAAATAAAAAAAATAAAAAAATACTCAAAAATTAACTTATATTTACCCCACTCCTTCTCTGTCTATACAGTCAAAAAAATTAAAAAAATAGAAACAAAAGTTAAAATCAAAACTCATTCTATATCTCTCTCCGATAAAAGATAAAAACAAAAGTTAAAACCTCTACTAACACATCCTTCATCTGTCTCTCTATCATAAAAAAATTAATATTAAAAATAAAAAAAATCTCATTTAGTATTTTCGCTTTAGGCCTCAAATTACCTTGAACCGCCCTTGGAGGTTGTGTGCAAATGGGAAAAACCTAAATACAAATATCATGAAATTAAGTTGGACTCAATATATTCAAATGGATCCTATAAACTTTCGATATTATAGGATGTGGAATTTTCTTTGGTAGATACGTAGAACTTTAATTACATGCATATCTAACAACATTATCAATCACACGTACCTCACGACAGCAACCCCTTTAATTCGATCAAAATTTTCTTACTGATCTGTTGATGTATAGTTATGAAAATAATGATATATGCTTGGATAATTTACTGGTCATCCACTAGAATTGACTCAGTAATGCAAAAGTCAGTCCACTCCATTCTTAGAATGGCAGGGCTAAATTCCTGTATGTGGAGCCATTGCCAAGACCAGCTGCATCATTACTATTCCATTCGACTGAATAACGTAACAATTAATTTACATTGCTTTCAAAGCATGGCAGAGTCAAATTTTTGTATGTGAAGTTAATTGTCCAACTAATTATTTAGATCAATATGCGTCACAACTAACTCTTATTTAATTTTGACTAAATAATACAACAGCCAGTCTATTATTTTTATAGCACGACAGAACTAAATTCATATATGTAGGGTAATAATCCTCACTGATGGTTTAGATTAGTCTCTATCGTTACTAATTGTTATTCCATTTGGCTCAATAATGCAATAGTCAGTCTACGATTTCCATAACATGACAAAGTAAAATTCGTGTATGGGGGATCCATTGACTCCGCTAATGGTTTAGATTAGTCTTCATTATTACTAATTGCAATTTCATCTGACTCAATCATGTAATAGTTAGCCCACTATTTTCATAGCACCACAGATTTAAGTTTATATATGTGGGGTTAACTGACCCCACCGATGGTTTAGATCAATTTATATCATTATTCCATTCGACTAAATAATGCAACAATCGGTCTTCTACTTTCATAGCACACTAGAGCTAAAGGAATGCCTATCGGGAATTAGTTTAACTGGCTGCTAAAATTTACCCATTTTCTACAATATCCACTATGACCAGCACATTAAAAGGGAAACATATATAATTCAATATAAGTACAAATCTTTCTTGAAGTACCTTCCATGGGTAAGGAGCCATTCAGTTGATTGTATTTGAATGATAAGACCTTTAGAGAAGCCATAGCACCAATGGATGGGGGAATCTCACCAATCAAATTATTACCATCAAGATTCAACGTCTCCAGCTTGTTCAAAGTAGTTAATTCTGCTTTTACGTAGGACAAAAGAGTAAAGTGTTGCATCAATGTAACGTACAAGTAAATAAGCAGAACAATGCAATAGAATAGAATTGGGATGCACCTTCAAAATGGGAAAAACTCTCCAAATAGTTTTCTTTAAGATTGAGAATCTTTAAGGACTGTAGTGCACCCAATGATGGGATTTCTGTGAACATGTTCCAACTCAAATCCAAAACTTGTAGCTTGCTCAATCTAAGTTCTCCATAGAAACCTGTGTGAAACCACAATAAAAGCAAGAGAATGAATCAAAGCCTATTCTCGTTGTTTTTTTCCCTCAAGGTCAATCAATGCCCATTCATGCATTGGAATCTTGATGTTTGTTTATGTTCCCACCACAATCTACATAATAAAACAAGTTTAATGCACAATGAAAAAACTTCAGGATATATCATAAATATAACAACAAATAATTAGGGAGGTGGCTTGAAAAACTTCCCCTTCTCTTTTTCTAAATTAATTAATAACCAATCACACCTTACCACCTATACTTTTCAAAACCACTTGAATATTTCAGGATATCCCTGCTTAGTCTATGCTTACTTTCCACCCGTATGATAACCATCGCATTGCAATTGTTTCGAGTCTTCTCATATATGCTCACTCTAAGTTCGTAACTACTTGTTTAATACTTTGACTTACTAAAAATAAATAATCACTTCCTCCAATCAGGATCTCCTACTATATAAGTAGCCCTCAACTTTATTAATTATTTACTTGAGAGAGAGAGAGAGAGAGAGGGGGGGAGAGAGATGATGAAGAAAAAAAAAATTAAAAATAGAGATGAGTTTTACAACCTGTGCATTGCACGGAATAAAGATAGTATATTAACTACAAAAATTATTTTAGTCATACTTACCTTTTAACCACTTACTTACATTTTAATCATGCTAAACATTTCAATAAGGGTGCAAAAAATAAAAAAGTTTAATGCACAATAAAAAAAAAAAAAGTGCATTAGTCTGCATAATAAAAAAGGGAAAAAAAAATCATATTTAGTCCCTAAACTTTACACTCAGTTTCAACCAAGTCCTTAATCTTTATTTTGTCTCAATTAAGCCCTCCAACTAATTACAAAGCTTCAAGGTAGCCTTTCTTTCTAAAATCATAAAAAAATCCTAACAGAAAAACGCATGTGCATATCACGTGACTGAGTTAGTAAGGATATTTTGGTCAGCAAATAAATGTTAGAATCATATTTGGTTATTAAATTTTGCACATAATTTTAATTATGCTCTTAATGTTATATTTTGTCTTAATTAAGCCCTTCATTTACCTGTAAAGTTTTAGATGGCCTCCTTTATTTCAACTCCATCAACAAGTAAATGTGCATCTCGCGTGTGTTGTGTTTATAATATAGAAAAAGAACATTAATCACTTATTTTGCAAAGAGTAATGGTTGGTTCTGAACTTTTGCACCTTTTTTGTTGGCTCTAGGCTATTTGCAAAGAGTCATGTACGGTAGATGCAAATTTTTGTTAGAGGTTTTTATGGAAGGATTATATTTGAATTTTTTATATAGTTAAAATGTTAAATTGAGACAAAAATAAAGTTTAAAGTCTTAATTTAAATGAGATGCAAAGTTTAAGGACCAATATAACTTTAACCTTTGCAGGATGCCGAAAATACCCCCACTAATCTAGACAAGTGAGAAAACTGCATTTTTCTGTTAGATTTTTTGAAGAAATTAAGCAGAAGGGTTGCATTGAAACTTCCAGATAGTTCGAGGGTTTAATTGAGACAAAATAAATATGAAGGGCTTAATTGAAATTGAGTGCAAAGTTTAAGGGCCCAATATGATTTTTACCTTTGTAAAGAAAGTTTCTCGACAACTTTCCCAAACCCGGGAATGCCGAATCTTATCAAATTAAAAAGTCCTTTTCAGGCATGGTAATCATGTCGGTAAGTTGAATTTATCTCGAGTCCTGTGAGTTTCGTATTAAAAAATATTTTACATCTACACAATTTATTTATGTAAACTAGTCTAAATATTAAACTTAAAGGCAACTTGTTTAGTACAGGGGTTACAAAACATGACTCGTGTAATCTATTAAATAGACAAATCATTTTAGGGTCTTCTTGAAACTACCTATTTAATTCGTAAAATAAATAAACTATTTTAGCATCTTCTCAAATTCGAACGCTAAATCTATTAGCTTGCCACTATTTCACCGATTTCTTCCGTTTTCATTGCCAATAGCATAATAGCTTCCATAATTTGGGAAAAAATAACAATTCAACATATATCTATTCCATCACATATTTACAAGCAAAATTCACAAACCAAAACATGAACCAAATTCCACCATGAACATTTTAAAAAAAAAAACAAACTTGTTTGGGCCTGTTTTTTAAATTTTTATTTTTGAAGATTTTATACAAAGGTTATTACATGAGTTATCGAGCAGTACACGGGTTAAGGTACTTGACTGGAATACAATCCGTTTATTAGACAAGTTCATCTATTTTTATCCATACCAGCTAACTTTGTATTAATTTGTCTAGAATAATCGGCTCATGTAAAAATTTTACCAAGCCAAGCCCTTTTTCTTAAGATCACGTCACCTAAACAAGGATTGGGGTTTTTGTTTTTTGATACAACGAGGCTTGAGGCTTGGAAGAGTCAAATGTACCCTACAAGCAGTTGAAAACGGTTTTCATATGTCAAATTTGAGACTCTCAAATCACAATAGAACAATATAGTCAATTCACCAATGCCCACCCACATCTCTTGAAAGGTAATATTCCACTAAATTATTAGTCAGAATTTTTTTCCTTTACCCTTTGGCTAGCTAGTTTGAAATGCTTATTAGGTATAAGGTAACAGTGTCATGTGATATCTACACCCAATGAAAAATTATCACCAAAATTTCGTGTAACTCGGATAGGTTGGATGGGTTAAAGAATCAATCTAGACCCAACCCAAGTTGTAAAACTTTCAACTCTACCCTGACTTTTAGCCCTAGTATTACCTAAGTTAATTTTAGCCTCAATTCGGATTGTTTTGAGTTCACTAACTTCAGCTTAGTTTGGGCTCATAATTCGGGTTTAATTTCAGGCTCAAATTCGGGCATGACCCAATAACTTAGTCAACATAAATTTAAATTAAATTCAATAAAAATCTAAAAAACACTTAATTTTTGTGTACAACCTAGTTAACTCACTATTCACCTACAAAATTTGTTCGAACAAATATATATATATTAGACATATCCCGTGCTTGAAAACACGAAGAAAAATAAAATTTGAGCAACCAAAAAATATATCCCTCTATATTAAATAATAATTTTTTCCCTCTCATTTATTTGATTGCATCATTTAAAATTTATTTTTATCCATTATTTTCTTAAAAATATAAAATAAAATTTCTCAAAAATATATAATTCGATAAAAATTTTCTCAACATGTGTATACTATCGTATATAAATAATATCTGAAATAAAAATTATGTTAAAATATAAATTAATTAAATATTAAATGATTAAACATATGATAAGATAGGTGATATAATAGAATTGAGAGAGAAAATATTAGAAGATCAAATTCAAGTGATTTATTATATAGATATTGCTTGCAGAGAAATGTTGTGCGTGTGTGTGTGTGAGTGAGTGAGAGAGAGAGAGAGACCTTTAAGATGGCTCCTGTCCAAGCTTAAATTTTGTAGTTTCTGAAAGGGAAGGAACAAAGAGGCGTTGAGGAAGAAGGAGGCGTTGAGGAAGGAGGAGGGGTTGAGGAACCCCAGTTGTCTTGCATCACTGAGAGAGAGTCCTATCACTCGCTTTGTCATGCTATCGCACGTGACCCTTTCCCACCTGCAACAGTCTATCTCTTCAACCCGCCATGAAGGAAGAGAAGCAGACGCATTTGGGTGATGGAAGGCTTCTTTCAATTTCAAGAGCCCCACTCTCTCTTCTTCCAAGCAAGCTAAGCTTCCATGAGCCTGAAAATGAAGTAGCCCACAAGCCAAAAGAGTCAACAAATACAGCACCAGATGATACTCCATGACAAAACAAACAAAAGTAGAGACAGAGAGAGAATGTTATTTTCCCTAACACTTGGAACTCTTTTCTTATCTTTGTGATGTATGTTTTCTAGCTCAAATATATATAATGGCCTCCGTGGTAAAAAAAATCTTTAAAAAAACCCAAAGCTGATTGACAGTGTTGGCCCGGTGATACTTTAATGGTGGGATTCGTTCATAATCTAATAGCTGTAATTATTAAGCCTCTAAATTATGTTTTTAAATTATGTCTAAATAGAATTGTTCTATATATAATGGGCTCCGTGGTAAAAAAATTCTTTATACATCTCCCGTCATTTTTTTTTTGTACTCAAATTTAAATTTGGATAAAAATCATTTAAAATGTTTCTTCAATGTTAGACACATACTCATACCAAATAAAGCGAAACTTTTTTTTAAAACCCAAATTAAAGAAAAGTCAAATCTATAATAGTGAGACTTCATCATCCTTTAAAAATTCAAATGTTATATTTTACTCTCATTTAAATTTAAGTTTCTCCATTAGAGAAGTTTATAACAAATAAATTTTTTACTCTTTTTTTTACTCAAATTTGGATAAGAGTTTGAATTTCCATCAGAGATGGTATAACAAAAAATTTTGATATCTTACTTTTTTTTTTGACTCTTTATGTCATTTATGGGCGGAGTTTATTAATGTTTAAGATCTTTTTTATTTTTCTTGTTCACTTATTTCTTTTTTTTTAAATTCACATACCGTATTTTTTATTTCACCTATATTATTTTTTTTAGATAAAATTAATCATTTTTCATTTTTTGACCATACCAAAAAGTGGAATTTATATAGTATTCCACTGCCGAAGCATTTCTAAGTTGTGCATATTCATCAATTTGACCAATAGACAATAAATAAAATAGTATGACACTCCTTTTCCTTTTTTTTTTCTTTTGAGAGAAAAGGGAAAAAAGGGACTTGAACCTTTAACCTTAAGAAGGCAAAACCTTCAAAAAGTAAGGAGCATCATTGAATCAAAGGCCCGTTGGTCTTTTTTCTTTAATATATGTATTTTTTCATTTCAATATTTAAGGTACAAAAATATTATTTTGGCTTACTTTGGGGAATTAGAACTTAATTCAATGCATTAATTAAATTAAAAGTAAGCTCAATTTAATATTAAAATTTATAATTAATTTAATAATTGTACTGAATTAGATTTTTAACTAAATAGTTGTAACATTGCATATTGCATTGGTCTAAGAGCAGCCTCATCCACTCTTCATCATATGGGTGACATGTCTCTTAGGAAAATGAGGTATACAGCGACACGAAAATGACAACGAAATTAGGGGGAGTCTGTCATAAGCCACTCATATACGAGTGGATTCAACATAACATGATTAATAAACGAATTGAGTATGAATAAAGTTAATTAAAAAAATACACAATTCGACTCGTTTATATATTAATTTTATACAATTTATATATGATTAGAACTGATGATCGAACCGAACTTTGTGAGTTCGAGCCGATCCCAAACTGAGCTCAGAACGAACCAAACTCAAACCGAGCCCGTATAGCTTGACTCGATTGTTAATCCTATACACGACACGAATCCGATATGACATAATTTATTAAACATAAATTAATAAATGAATCATGTATATGAGTGAAATGTTTTTTTAACACGAATCCTCATAAACTCGACACAAATCCATCACACCCGACATAACACTCCTATCTGCCACCCATCGCTCTTCACCCCCACCCCCACCCCCGATCTCTAGATTCCTCCCCCTCCTCGGCAGCCTCCTCTATTTGAGTTTGAAGCTGAAGATAAAGGGTTCACTTGGGTCGCAGCTGGAGGCTAGCAGCAAAGTTGATGATTCCATCTCTCGCCACATTCTTAACCTGTAAATTTCATTTTGTTCAAACCAATATAAACGCGTGGAGACAATTTTAGTTTATTTTTTACCAAAAAATAATGATCTATTTTTTTTTCTTATAAATTTCAAGGAAGTAAATAGCAAGGTTTGAATCTGTTAAAAACTACGGAAAAATGGTCATTAGGCTAACCAATAAATCCTCAACAGAAAGATATGGTGTAGATTATTTTTTGGTCACTATTGCGAAGTTTATTGGGGAGGAACTAGTATAGTTCGAACTCACGACCTATCACTCTAACAACGGGCTGCTGAGTCATTAGACCACCACCCTCTTGCATATGGTGTAAATGAGATGGATGCAACTTCTGGTAAAAAAATAATAAAAAAAGGGACAAATTTCGGTTATCATTTTTTGGTTTATCTCATTTACACATAACTCTCACGTGGATTAAAAATTACACATAACCCACCTGTTGTTATTGGACTAAAATGCATTGTTACATTTTCTATTTAATTTAATTGGACGTGTGGAAAACGCACCTCACAAAGACCATCCCCACCTGTCTCTCTCTCTCTCTCGTCCTCTTTCCTGTCAACCGCCATTACCACCACCACCTACCTCCTTTCATATATAATTATTAATTAATTATAATCCGTGCCTTATAAAATATAAAATTCGAGTATTTAAAAAATTAATTTCACTATATTAATTTTTTTAAAATATATTAACTACAAAATTAATTAAATATTAAATAATTAAATATATGATAAAAATGAGTTGTGATATATTTTTAAGGAGAAAATATACAAATAATTAAATATTGTGATAAAAATGAGTGATGTGATTTGACGTTTGAGTCTGACAAAGAGATGATGAGTGATAATTTTGAGGAGGAAAATATGACTGGATAAAATTTAAACACACTCCTGTTTTATTATACAGATTATGAACTTAAGTTGGACTACATATATATTTTCAAATAGATCATATAAATTTTTGATATTATAATATGTAAAATATTCTTTAATAGATATATGAAAATTTAATTACATGCATATTTAATAACATTATCAATTAAACGTACTTCAGAATTACAAACCCTTTGGTTAGATTTTATTTTTCTTACTAATCTATTGTTGTATAGTTATTAAGATACTGATGTACTTCTACTTTTGCTTCTGTTTCCCGGCAAAGTACAATCCAATTAAATAGAGGACCGAAGTCTTTGGATGATTTCCAGGCCATCCACTAGAATTTAGAAGCCATAAATATCATGCTAAATATTGACTTATAAATGCAAAAGTCAGTCACCTCATTCCTAGCACGGCAGGCCTAAATTCCTTAATTGGCCCACAAATTATGTACCACAACTAACTGTTATTTAATTTTTTTTATCAATAATATGACAGCCAATCTATTACTCTCATAACACAGCATAGCTAAATTAATATACGTGGGGTTATAAATTTCACTGACGATTTAAATTAGTCTACATTTTTATTAATTAGTATTCCACTTGAGTCAAATAATACAGTAGTCAGTCCCTGACTTTAATACACGTAGTCTATGTGGAATTCATACGGAGGTGTATGAATGTCTTTTAATCTTGTCATTTACGGAGTTAAGTGATGCATGCATTAATATATATATAGTAACATTAAAAATAAAAAATAATAACATTCAAATGTAAAAAAAAGTTATCATTTGGACACCAAAAATAATACATTTAAACACAAAAAAATAATAATATTTAAACATAAAAAAATTTGAAACATTCAATATTAATATTTTAATTAAATAACACCAGTAACATGTTCAACAAAAATAGTAACATGTTTAACAAAAACTGTAACATACTTAAAAAAAATTATATCTTTCAAATTTAAACGCAAAAAATAATACCATTTAAATAAAAAAAATAGTAACATTGAATATTAATTTTTAGGAAAATAATAATAGCAACATGCTCAACAAAAACAATAACATGTTCAAAAATAATTGTAAAATGAACAGTACATATTTAATAAAAGCAGTAATATGAACAGTAACATAATAAAAAAAAATACTAACATAAATTTGAATTTTACTATTCAAATTCATAGTAATTTTTTTGTGTATTTGAATGTTACTATTTTTTATTTTTAAGATTACTATATATATACCTAACCTATGTATGGATATAGATAGATAAGAGAGAAAAAAAAATTTAATGTTAGTCAAGCTCTTAACCTATATATGGATATAGATAGATATGAGAGAAAAAAGATTAACTTCCTTTCATTGAAGGGTATTTTTGAGATAAAAAAAAATAAAAAAAGTGGACTTAAGTCATTACATATAATTTTAAACATTGACTTAGCCTCTTATAAGTTTTTTTGTAGAACTTATCTCCAAACAAGTACATTTAGGTGACTCAATTTCAATTAAGTCCCAATCGAAATTTTTATTGTAATAATTTGGGTTCATGATTCAATTCATAACATTAAAATCTTACAAATCAGAAATAAAAAAATAAAAAAGTACTCAAAAGTTAACTTATATTTATCCCATTTATTCTCTCTCTCTCTCTCCGGTTAAAAAAAAAAACAGAAACAAATGTTAAAACCTCTACTAGCGCTTCTTTCTTCTGTCTCTTTGACATAAAAAATTTAAAATAAATTATATTTTAAAAAAATTAATACTAAAAATAAAAATGTCAAATTTAGTGTTTTCACTTTAGACCTCAAATTACCTTGAGTCGCCCTTGGGGGTTATGTGCAAATGGGAAAAACCTAAATACTATTAACACGAAATTAAGTTGGGCTCAATATATTCAAATAGATCCTATAAATTTTCGATATTATAGGATGTGGAATTTTCCTTGGTAGATACATAGAATTTCAATTACATGCATATTTAACAACTTCATCAATCCCAGGTACCTCACGACTGCAAACCGTTTGATTCAACCAAAATTTTCTTACTGATGTATTGTTGTATAGTTATTAAGATGATGATATTTGCTTCTATTTTTGCTTTTGTTTCTTGACAACCTGCTATCCAATTAAATAGAGAACCGATGTATTTAAATAATTTACAGGCCACAACTTGTCATCCACTAGAATTTTGAAGCCATCAATATCATGACTATTGACTTAGTAATGCAAAAGTCGGTCCACTCCATTCCTAGCACAGTAGGCCTAAATTTCTGTACGTGGAGCCATTG